ATTTGGCTAAATTCTTGGATGCGATCAATTATTGGACTCGTTCTGGAAACAAGAAGCCAAAGAAGCTCAATATTACAATTATTAGAGACGAGACCGCGCCACAACAAACGAGCGGAGCCAGAGGGATTGTGGTCCTCTCGTATGCTTGGCGTTGGAGCGTTTGACGACGGGAAGCATCAAGTATCTACCTCCCACCGATAGAGATAAAGCTGTAGTAGGCTTGTGGTTTCGGCATTATATGGCTAAATCGATATATACGAGACGCTGCCTACCTGCATCCGCGTTATAAAAATGTCCATAAACAATTGGTAAGTTTATATACTTATAAATGAAAATGTTTGGTTAATTAACTAGAATTCAATAATTTGCGTAGAAAGTGTTGTTTGAACAAATGTTTGGTTTCTGCAGGTTAATCTCAGAAGTGAACTGCGTGAAAATGATGTCGAGCTGCAAAAGTTGATTCAATAGTTTAATTGATTGTTTTTTGATTGTTTAATTGATTTGTAAAAGTTGATTCAATAGTAGATGATCGGAAATAGAATTATTGCTTATTTTTTGATTGTTTAATTGATTTGTAAAAGATGATTTGTAAAAGTTGATTTGTGTAATTGATGCGAACATAATTCTTATTGTGCTTGTTTAATTGATTGAAATGTAATGGTTGATTTTGTTGATTTCAATCTGCATATGTTGAAGGCAAAAATGACTATCGCAATGCGAAATGAAAATCGCAATGCGAAATGAAAATCGCAACGAGAGAATCGCAATGCGAAATGAAAATCGCAATGCGGAAATGAAAATCGCAATGCGTTTATAATTTCGCATTGCGATTATCTCGTTGCGATTTTCATTTCGCATTGCGATTTTCATTTCGCATTGCGATTCTTTCGTTGCGATTTTCATTTCGCATTGCGATTTTCATTTCGCATTGCGATTTTCATTTCGCATTGCGATTTTCATTTCGCATTGCGATTTTCATTTCGCATTGCGATTTTAATTTCGCATTGCGATTCTGTCGTTGCGATTTTCATTTCGCATTGCGATTTTCATTTCGCATTGCGATTCTCTCGTTGCGATTTTCATTTCCGCATTGCGATTTTCATGTTGGGATTTTCATTTCGCGTTGCGATTGTATTTTCCGTGTTGCGATAGTCAAATGCATGCCTAATAGTGATAACAACTGAATAACAAGAGTTGGTTAAGTCAAAATGGTTGGCCTGAGTCATTAATTCAACTGAAAATGTTAAAAGTTCACACAAAATCCACATAATACAACGTTTGCATTTAAAAATCACCTAAGTTAACAGTCTCAAAAGGTGAAGCCAATCGTGATTGGGATTTTAAAGATGATTGCCTTTTGCTTGACACCATATGAGCTTTGGATTTTGATGAGGATCCATATTTTGGTAGAGGAAAAGATGATTTTGATGGCACTGGTGATCCACATGTCAACCTTGTATGACCACTTTCCTTGCACCGACTACATGTCGATCTCTTCTTCTCTTCACCCTTAGACGGTATACGATCGTGACTTTTTGGTCGGCCAGGTAGCCTTCTGTCCATGGCTGGTGGCAAAACTGTTTGTAAGTCATCTGGTATGTCCCACTCAGAAGGATGTGGAATAGGGTAGACAATCTCGGCATAAGTCTGTCGATAAACTTCTGTAGTGTAGCAATCCATAGCGTATGCGCTTGAATCATCTTGGTTTAAATGAAGAGCAACTTTTATAACATGGCCACACGGATAACCAGATGTTTGCCATTTCATACAACTACACGTCTTTGCATTTAGATCGACTAGCCCATTTAAGTTATTATCCAGTACTTGAAACAAAGTGTTTGAACATGGTTCAACTCTCCATGACGTTGACTTCACAACACGTTTCGTTATCTTTTTTTCAGTCCATGGTGTAACACGATGTTCCAATGTTCCTGTAAATTTAAATAAACAATACTTAGTAAAATATATAAATATGATAAGTTACGAATTCAAAGAAATAATACCTGCATGGTTTCTTTTCTTGTAGTACCACTGTTGAATAGAGGCTCGAAAAAACTCCATTAACATAGTAATGGGTAATTTCCGGGAATGACGACTTAGAGCGTTGATTGATTCTGCACTATTAGACGTCATGAAACCATATCTTGCTCCAAGTTGATGTACTCTGACCATCTTTCAAACCCGACATCTTCTAGTGTTTGAGCACACTGAGGCAAAACACGTCTTAAACAATTTATATGCTTATTGAAATCCACTTCCCGATAAGCTTTTACAGCCTTCCAGTATGTCCATTTGTGCTTTTTTATACCAGCAGACCTTGATTTTAGATTTCTATACAAATGAACACCACAAAGTCCATGAAAAGCATCTGGGAAACACCTTCTAACAGCGTTGTCAATTGAGTTTGCCCTATCGGATATGATTGTCAGATTGCTAATAGGACCTATGCAATCCCTAAGATGCCCCATAAACCATGTCCATGAATCAGAGGTTTCAGATTTGCCAACCCGTAAGCTATTGGCAATATCCCATTGTTAGCATCCATGGCTACTGCTAATAAGTTTACTCCAAGGTATCGACCTTTCAAATGTGCTCCGTCAACTAATAACTGGGCGCATGCAAGTAATAACGAACGAATCTACAAAATAATATACACAAGAAATATAATCATTTAAATGTGAAATGCATGTAACTAACAAAAATGAGTCAACAAAATTATATTGATTTACTAACTGTAGCACCAATGGCGATAAACAGCAACTCAAAGCGTCCATCTCTATCTGTTTTGATATGAGTTACCGACCCAGGATTTTTCAGCTTTAAATTGTGACAATAAGCCGGCAGTTGGGCAAACGATGCTTCTGGCGACCCCCTCAACAATTCCAAGGCATAACATTTTGCTCTCCAAGCTTGAGAATATGATATACTAATCTTGAACCGAGCATTCATGTCAGTCATAATTTCATGTCCCCGATATACCCTGCCATTCAAAAACATTAACTCAGCCAGAAAACCACCCAACACCTTTTTGTTTGCCTGTCTATGGTGAGGAAAAACTTGGGTTCTTGAACATGTATGTTTATCAATAAAAGTCCTAACTTGAAACATTTTGCAATCTTTATTCTCTTTGCAATCATACGCCACGTACAGTTTTTGTCAATCATACACCTTGTTTCGAAACGATCTTTGCTTGATTTGTTAACTTTTAGTTGATAGCCATCTTCCACACATTTCGTATATAAAGCTATCTTCAAGTCTTCCTTTGTATCAAAACAATCATCTTTCTTGATACGAATAACTTTTGTGTAACAATCAACTGCTTTCTTTATCAACTCTTCTTCCGGTATCTGAAGTAATTCTGGCATATTCCAGTTATACGCCCGTGGCATTTTCTTTTCTTCGGGGACTTTTTCTTCTTCTTTTTCTTCTTCAGGATTATATGAATTACAGAATGGATGTTCAACATGTTCATTCACAGTCGTAACTTCCTCCTCATTATCATCAACATTACATTCTTCGGCAACGGCTGTTTCATCATCAAAATTCGGGTATTGACCAATATCAATATCATTACACGCATGGTCTGTTTCTTCTTCTGAAACATCATCAAAATCCGTGTATTGACCAATATCAAAGTCCGGATATTGACCAAGACCAAATTTCGAATACTGACTAGTACTCACAATTTTTTCTGTTGGCTCATCATCGTCTAACTGGTCAATACGAAAACCGGAATTTGGTGCTGAAAGTTGATTGGGATTTGGATTAGAGAAAGGTTGTGGGTTTTGAGAAAAACTTAGTTGATTACTACCCGCTACTGACCCAACAATACTACTTCTAGGTTCAACAACATACAATGTAACATCATCTTGTGAAACACTAATGTAAGCAATGAATCGTTCAACATCTTCATTGTCGGTTAACAAATAAACTTTACCATTTCTCTGATAAGATAGCCTAAATCCACTTAGGGGCTCTAAATTCAATTTATTTGAAACACGTAGCATTAGAGTTTCATAAGTTAACTTTTGTAAAGACAATTTTAGTTGAAGATTCATGGGTAAAGGCATATATTGTAAAACACCATGAACATTATCCCATGACCCTCCAAAACACAAATCTATCCAAACATGATCAACATTAGATGATTTCATGGTTGTAAATTAATTTACTAAACAGACGAGCTGCGAAACTAAAACCTGTTGCCGGATTGGGAAGGATGTCGTTGGATATAGGAACGGATGTCGCCGGAGAGAGTGATAGATGGAGATGGAATGAGTTGCGATTTAGGGATTTAGTTTATGATTTCAGTGTTATATACCCAAAATTTAAGTGTTGTGATTTACAGATTCTCGTTGCGATTTACGGATTATCGTTGCGATTTACAGATTCTCGTTGCGATTTACGGATTATCGTTGCGATTTACGGATACGCGTTGCGATTTACGGATTATCGTTGCGATTTACGGATACGCGTTGCGATTTACGGATACGCATTGCGATTTACGGATACGCGTTGCGATTTACGGATACACGTTGCAGTTTACGGATACGCGTTGCGATTTACGGATACGCGTTGCGATATACGGATACGCATTGCGATTTACCCATACGCGTTGCGATTTACGGATACACGTTGCGATTTACGGATACGCGTTGCGATTTATGTGTTCGCGTTGCGATTTTCATATTCGCGTTGCGATTATGGAAAATCGCAATGCGAATTTGTACTATCGCATCGCGATTTTCAAGAATCGCGTTGCGATTTTGGAAACTGATTTGCGATTCTGGGGATCGCGTTGCGATTTTTATTTCGCGTTGCGATTTTGTTGGTCATTTTGGCAAATCCAAAAAAAGTTGATTAAAATCGTATATTATAACTTTTTTTTGGTCACTGAGGCGATTCTCTCTTATAAATAACTTGGCGTGCGTGGAATTCCAACCAAATTTGTTTTTTCTTATGAGATAAGCCACCTTTGGTCTGTTCTAAAACTCCATTATATACAACACATATGCAGTAGCAGTTCTTCAGCGTTTTGAGGTCAGAGATTCCAACAATGGCATCCACTGATAAACCCGCCGTAGTCTCGGAGTCGGCACCGAAGTCCGAAGCCGGCCCACCGGAAGCAGAAGCAGTCGCAGCGCCGACTAAGTTCGCTTTCAACTACTCGCTAGTCGATGTTGCTCTTCGGATCTTACTATTTGCAGCGGCTCTAAGTTCTGTAGTGGTCATGGTTACCAGCAAGCAAACCGAGGTGGTTCCGGTGCCGGGCTTGCCTGGAGTTATGCTCCCATTTCAAGCAAAGTTCAATCATTCACCAGCTCTCATGTAAGTATAGTTTATACGATAATTTATACGTATTTGTACATGGCATCTCTCAAGTTTAATTCTTACAGTTTGGAGGTACTTTTTTGCGTATGGGAAGCTTATTTGTTGAGCAGAACTTAGGGTCTAACTCCTAACTTTAAATAATTAGAATAAATGGACGACGTCAATATTGAATTACGAAGAATTTAAATTAAATAAGTTTAGAATGAATAAGAATTTAAAAAGTAAGAGAGTTGGAACTTAATTTCATTAATTTTTAAAATTAAAAGATCTTAAAAAATAATTAAATTAAAAATTTTGAAGATCAAGACTTAATTTCATTAATTTTAAAACTAACATATCCTAAAAATAATTAAACCAATTTTTTTTGGAGAGACAATAACTTAATTTCATTGGTTTCAAAATTATTTATAGCTTAAAATACAAATAAACCATCAAAGTTGGGTGGCTATTGCCGCTCTGCTTATAACATGTAGGTGTTTAGGGATGAGAATGAGTCGGGTCGGTATCCGATTTTAGTCCAACCAAACCTGGTTCGATGTTATACCCCTTTATTCGTCACTCAATCAGACTCAGATTTACGTAAGTTTTATTTGACCCGAAACATGACATAATTTTACAGTAAAAACCAATCTCAACTCGACACAATTGTATATATAATCTCATTTTATTTAATAAAATAGGGACCTAATTAAAAATATATATAAATTAAAAGATATTATTATAATTATTCTTAAATATATAATAGATAATTATACTATCTAATACGAATATTTATAAAAAAAATTATGAGAGTCCAGTTAGCATAAGAAATAACTTAAATTTACGTTAAAAAAAAATCTGAGTGGGGGCTAGGCGAAGAACAAAATGTTCCTATTAAACATCGTGGTACCCCAGACATTGAAGTAATTTGGAATTTCGTTGTGGAAATTTCAATAGAAAGACAACCACAGTAGACGATGATGTCTGTGTCTGATAGCTAACATTTGACATTCATTGTTTGGTGGAACAATGACCACATGACCTGATGGCTGAGGATCAACACAAGTACACCAACTTGACGTTGGTAATTAAAATATAATCTTTGATTGGGAGATCACTAAAATCAATTATTGTTTATTTTTCACATTTTTTAAAAGGCTCTCTTATATAATTATTATTCAATATATTTGTAACAATATTTTTAATTTTAGTATTATAAAATAAAGAATATGGCATATGATAATTGAATAAAACCAATTCTAAAAATAAAGAATTTGATTGCACAAACAGAATTAATATTGAATTATAAGGGACCAAGTTGGTTTTGAAAGAACGGGATCCTAAAGAATAATTGAACCATACAAATTAAGAGAGTTGGGACTTAATTTTATTAATTTTAAAATTAAAAGGTCTTAAAAATTTTAGGGTTAGGACTTAATTTCGTTAATTTAAAACTGGCAGGTCCTGAAAATTAGTTTAACCAAAAGAAATTAAAAGGGGTTAAAACTATCAATGGTTTAAAATGTAATTAAACCATCAAAATTATTTACATTGCGCAGATACTTCGTAGCAGCATTATCGGTAACAGGCTTATACAGCATTATCACCACATTGGCATCACTCTCAGTCGTCCTTAAACCTGTTTATTCCAAAGCCTTCTTGCTCGCTTTCGCTTTCTTAGACGTGGTAAGTTACTCAACTTTGGTTCGGAATATCTCAAATTTATCTCAGTCACTGTCAAATCGATTCCGAGCTCAAACGGTCGAGTAAACCAAATTTGAGTTTCTGATATAATTTATAACCCGATATCGACCCTGATCATCTGATGTAGGTGTTTGTCGGGATCGTTGCCTCTGCAACTGGTGCGGCGGGAGGTGTCGCTTATATCGGATTAAAGGGCAACAGTCACGTCAGGTGGAACAAAATCTGCAATGTTTACGACAAGTTTTGTCGATACAATGCAAGTTCGATCGCACTCGCATTGTTCGCCGCCGTTCTTCTGGTGTTGCTCTCGATGATGTCAACCTTCACACTTTACAAAAAGATCCGTGACTAGACAGATCCTCGATGTCGTCCTAGTTTTCAGCTCAAGAAACATTTGATAAATGTTAATTTGTGGTGTTGTTTTTGTCTTGAACTAGGTGATGTTTTCTGTCTACAGATGATGTTTTAATTCGTATTTGTTGTGTATCTTATGTGGTTAATACGTTGTCTTTAATTTGTTTGTAAGTTGGTCATTGGTGTTTTATGAAGTAATTTAATCAAGTGACATTTAAATTTTACCAGGTTTTTCTTTTCTTAAAATGATAACAATATGTGATAAGTAATATTAAAACGATTCTTTGAATATCTGGTAACAACCATGATGAGAGATTCATAAGATATAGTGGTGAATGTCACGTCTTGGAGAGGTATATGACATTAATCTTATATCGAAAAAGAATTCTAAAATTTGAAAATGATAACTATACACATATTGATTGAGTCCTCATAAATTATAAAATGTCACGTCTTGGAGAGGTATACGACATTAATCTTATATCGAAAAAGAATTCTAAAATTTGAAAATGATAACTATACACATATTGACTGAGTCCTCATAAATTATAAAATCACTAAGGACACAAATTTTTATATATACACACATTAAATTGTATTATATACCAATAATTTTTAATGATTTTTTTGAATAAATTGGAGTAATTATAAGGAAGTATTTTTAAAAAAAATTGTTAGCCTATTGACAACACGCACACACTCTTGAAACGTAAATTAACATCACTCAATATTTAATCAGAAGAAAAAAAAATCAATCAATAAGTTCACCTATTAAAGACCTCTCAAATGTTATAAAATAATTATTAATTTTTTAAATGATTATAAAATGGTCATTAACATTTATTAAATTGTTAGAAAATTATCTTTAAGCTTATCAAATTATTAAAAAATGGTCCTTAAACTTATCAAAATTCATTACTATTTTAATGTTATGGGCATCATTTGTTAACTGTTTATGAAGATTAATGTTCATTTTATAATATTTGAAAGCTAAATGACTAGAAAGATAACTTTTACATAATTCAGTGGCCTCTAATGTATTTATCCTAAAAAATAAACTTATGAATAAACAATACAAAATGATATTATCAATTAAAAACAATTATTTGTATGTTTATGATATTTGTTGGGAGGGAAAGAATGAATTTGTTTGGCCCTCAAAACAATACATGCTTATCGTATCTTCTCTTGTCACATCAAAGCTCCCCCACGAGATAAGGCAAAGAATATATGGGTGATTTGAATATTAGCATTTCGTTTAATGGCGTAATGTTAAAAATAGTCCCTTAACATTTATTAAAATTATTATTTTGGTTTTATTTTTTTATTATTTTAGCCTCTAACGTTATATTTTAGGGCAAAAAGATATTAATATTTGATAAAATATTCACTTTAACATTTATTTTTTTTTTAGTATTTTAACTCTCAACGTTTCATTTTAAGATAAAAATGTTCTTATTTTGAAGCGAAAATCATGTGTTGACTAATGGTTTCAATTCATAGAGGGACCTTTTTGTCCCAAAATAAAATATTGTCGGCTAAGATATTAAAAAAGGTGTGAAATAAAATAATCATTTTGATAAACGTTAGAAACTAATTTAGAGATTATACTTTGTTTATTTAAACTTACGTTTACCTTAAAAGTAATGTTTACTTTAAAAGTAATGTTTATTTTGAAAAAGTAATGTTTTATACCTTAAAAATTATATTTTGGGTCGATTTTTATAGTTCAAATTACTCCAGTTTTTTTTGTGGAACGAAATATTATTATTTTTTTATTAATATGAGGTGAATATAAGATAACATATGTTCAAAGAACATTATTAATCATTTAGTATTGAACGCCCATACCTCTAGATATTCATGGTATTCGAATCTGAGACCTCAATGAATAACAACAATTATTTTACCACGGAAATCACGTAGTTCGTGTAAATATTAAATCTTTTAAATGATGTTTAAGTTAATTATTATTTATTTTAGTGGAATAGAGTAATATTTTTAAAATAATATTTATAATTTAAATTACAAAATTATAAATAAAAAAAATAGATTTAGAGAATGATCCATATAATAAGTATATGCGACATTCAAATTTAAATTATTCGATCACTATATTAAATACGAGATGAGCATATAATATTTTAAAATATATTTTTATTATTAATGAGATTTTTGTATAGTCTAAAATGATTAGAAGATATAGATAAAATTACTCTAAAAATAAACCATCATAGAAGTAGATGACAAAATATCATCATTGTTTACTAAATCTAAATGGGTATGAGCTCAAAGGGATAGTTCTCCTTTACGACAGTTTTAATATACGATTAAGGAAAAATGTTATCAGAAATATTAATATTTTTTAATATTTCTGATAAAATGCTATCTAAAATATTGTTTTTTTTTCTACCGGAATGTTAATTTCGTTATCTAATTTCCGGTAGAAAAAATAACATTATAGGTAGCGCCCAATATTAATATTTTCGGTAGAAAAAATAATGTTTTAGGTAATATTTTACCGAAAATGTTAAACATTATAAGTAACGCTCAATATTAACATTTTCAGTAAAAAATAATATTTTAAATAATATTTTATCAAAAATATAAAAAAAAATTAATATTTTCGATAACGTTTTTCTTTACATCTTTCTCTAGGAGAATCTAAATATAAATCATAGAAGTAGATGACAAAATATCATCATTGTTTACTAAATCAAAATGGGTATGAGCTCTAAGGGGGAATCTAAATGGGGCAAGTAGATGACAAAATTGCATCATTGTTTACTAAATCAAAATGGGTATGAGCTCGAAGGGGGAATCTAAATGGGGCAGGTAGGGCCTTAGCCCAACCTTTATCTAAATGTCCTGATTGATTATTTAAGGCCTTCTAAAAAAATTATAGGGTAAACTATATATATTTAGTCACCTAGTTATTCAAGCAATTTTATTTTAATTATCTATTTTTTCTAATAGCATATTTAATGTTATATTTTGATTTAATTTTAGTCATATTTCATTAAAAAATTAACTGAATTGCTAAGATAACATTATCTTATGGTGATAGCCATCATCATCATTAATTATTTAATGACAGACGACTAAAATGAAATTAAAACGTAAAATTAAATATGATTTTAAAAAATAATTGCGTGAATAAAACCAAACCACATGAATAGTTGAGTGACTAAATACGTAGTTTAGTCAAAATTATAATATAATTTAGGATAAATTATCTAAACGGTCACCTAAACGTTGGCACTCTTGCCACAAATTTCTGACTTCATCCTTCATCAGCTCTAATTAAACATGTAATCATATTAAATAATAATATTTAAATAAATACCTAGTCATTCAAAATGGTCAAATAATAACAAAATGTTATCTAGTGTAATTATATATTGCTCTAACTTTTTAAAACGATAAAATAATAAAAGAAAATTGATATTACAAATGTTAGACTTTATTTAAATATGTTAAAAATATCCTACAGACGTAATTATCTAAACTTACGACGAGAAGAGAAAATAACATTTTTATTAATCACTTAATCTATTTATTTACTTTATTTATTTAAAATAATTGATCGTTGTAGTCATCTTTTGCGTTAAACCATTGATTATGAAGGTGATTAAGGTTACCAATAATTTATAAAAGTTTGATTACTTCAATGCCATGCCGATTGTTAAAGTTAGATAATATAATTAAAGCGTCAAAGTCGCATAATATATTTAATAACCAATAATTTCATTCAAGTTAATCAATATAATATCGTCCGTAGTCGACAAAATACAACGTGGGTACCTTCTTTCATTTTGCCTCTCTCTTCCCTCCAACCAACGAATTATCAAATGCACCCGACCCCACAAACCCAACTCAATCTCCACCATTCATTTACAATACTTTTCTCTAACTAGTTATCATCAACGGTTGGTATTGGTTTCAGAACTTTGAACTATATTTTTCCTAAGAGGCATATTGTACAAATCTCTGTTGGCCGTCTTTTCGCTTTCGTCTCTTTCGCTGTCTGAACCTCAACACTTTGTATTTCTCTCTCTGCGTTCACTCATTTATTTCTCCATTTTTTAAAAAATTTAAATTAAAATATTTCGGTTTCTTTTTGGAAAAAACGAGAGAGAAGATTCTGCATTTCGTTGCGTTGAGTTCTTACGAATCAGATTCGCTGTTGGAGGTTTATAATCCATATAAGTGTTGTTATCAGTTTACGTGTTTGAGATTCAGAACTCGAGTTGAGGTGAGTTGGATTCTGACTCGGTTTTATATTATCTTTTAAAAGCTTTCAAGTTGAGCTGTCCAGTTAACTCTGTTTGGCTGGCCAAAAAAAAGAGGGAAAAAAAGGAAAATTATACGACTTGCATTTTAGTTTCTTTGAGTTTATTTTCTGTAAGTTTTAATTATTTCTGTTTTTTTACCTATTTGTTTTGATTTTGAATCTCAACGGCCGGTTCCTCTCGCTTACATTTCCTGTTTACTGATCCAAGCATCAGCTCCGGGTTTAATTTTTCTCTCTTTTTTGTTTCCCTTTTTCTCATTTTCAACAGATTTTTAGTGAGGCTAGGAGTTGAAACTGGAAGGTCTCTGGAACGAGAGTTTTCGGATCCAAATCAAATATTTAAGGGAAAGAGAATTATAATAGAAGTGAAACTCTTGAAATATTATATTATATAAACTAGACTCTTAGGTCATACCTTAAACTAATAGATTCTTGATTGTTAGTAGTATACCATGGCGACCGGAATCCTAAACTCAGTTTTAGTCTCCGATCATAGCTCAGTTGTTTCAATGAACTTATTTGTTGCGCTTCTTTGCGGTTGTATTGTGATCGGTCATTTACTAGAGGAAAACCGATGGATGAACGAGTCCATTACTGCCCTTGCCATTGTAAGTTGTACCTTTGCATATACATACATTCATACATGCATATTGTATTATTATTAAAGAGAAAAGGGCATTATTTTCATAATATTGATTTGTTTTAATGGCAGGGGGTGTGCACTGGAGTTGTAATTTGCTTACAACTGGAGGAAAAAGCTCCCATCTGTTAGTTTTCAGTGAAGACTTGTTCTTCATTTATTTGCTTCCACCGATTATTTTTAATGCG